TGGAGTGGGCTCTCCCCGTGATAAAATGGGCTACAGGTGGAGAAATAGGCCTCTGAGACCCTTTATCTCCCTCAATTCCCATCTCCCTGAGTGGATCGATAACGCCAGGGGCAAGGAAAAGGAGAGGAACTATCGCAGGGAATCACATTAAGGGAAAAGCTGGAAGGTGGTAACCGATGTAGCAACCCCTGCTGATTTTGAGGCAGATGGGCTGGGAGGGTTTCTGTATCCCAGGAGGGTTTGTGTACGGAGAAGAGGATGCCTGTAGGCTGGGAGAGTACTTTTAAAAGTAATTTGACTGGTTTCCCTCCTTCTTTCTTTCCATCCAGTCGGTCTCTGCTCCTGCCAGGTGTAGCAGGAGCAAAAGGTCTGTCTTGCAGATTTGTCTGGGATACTATTCCACAGAGCTTTGCCCTCCAGCGAGATCCCTCCAAAATGCATCCTGCCATCCCACCAAAATTCGACTGTCTCAACCTTTGATCCAGGGGCACAGCCCAGAGGTCCCCTGAGAGCATTGTCCAGGGGGCAGATGGGGGGTTCTGTGTCCCAGGGTGTTCACTCCTGGGACCACTGTCCCAGGATGGGGGGCCAGGGTCCAGCCTGATGAGGTAAGTCCTCCAGCCAGGCTCCTGGCCATGAATCAGCCATGCCCCTGGCTCCAGCCAGGGGGTTGAGGTGCCACCCCAGGGCAGGGCACCCGTATTTAATGGATGGTGGTACCACTGCTGGCAGCAGCAGCTCCCAGCCCTGAGCCTGGGGAGGAAACAGCAATTTGCCGTCATCATTCCCAGTCCCCTGCAAATTTCTCTGCTTGCAGAATGGGGTGCTGTGAAGAGGCTTTATTTGATGGTGTCTGAAGAGGTCTCCAGGTTCTCCTTGAGAGCTGGGAGCAGCTGAGGGCACTCAAGGAGGCCAAGAGGTGGTGCAGGTGGTGGGGTTGGGAGGGTAAGGTTGTGCTTTTCCATCTTTGCTTAAGGAGGAGTCAGTGGGGAGGGAAGAAGGGAGCTGAGGAACTGGGACCGGGGATTCCTGAGGCCCCCACCAGCTTGAGCCACCCCAGGTCCTCAATGGGCTTCTAGTGGGGGCACAGGAGGGTGACTGGGACATCTGCATACCTGGGTTCACAGAACCTCCCTCTTGCCTGCGCTGTGCTGCTTCTCCTGCCTCCTTCAGAGACTGCGGCAGGAGGCTGAGGAGGAGGAAGAGGGAGGAAGAAGACGAGGTTGTCATCATTTCAAGAGCCTGTAAATTGTCCCCTTATGCTCCCTAAGAAGTGGCCATTTACCACAGGCCCTGTAAATGCTTTCTGGAGAGAAAACACCAGGGAGCATGGCATGGGAGGATGAGAGCCTCGATGGCTTTGAAAGAGGAAAAACCCAGCCCACCGTCGGTGAAGGAAGAAAATAGACCCAAAGAGAGAGAAGCTGAAAATGTGCTGAAGCAGCTGATGACAGCCCAAACAGCAGGAGAAGGCTCCTGCCTGCCAATTAACGAGGCTCTGGTGTTAATTTGCCACCTTGACTGCACTTCTGAGCTTGTCAGGAGAAGAGGGAGGAAAGAAAAGATGAGGCTAAAAAAGGGGTTTTGGCTCATCTCTTGGCTGTGCAGATGTCACAGGGCTTCAGGGAGGCAGGGGGAAGCAGGGGGGCTGATGGCAAACCCCACCACCCACGAGCCTGGAGTGCGAAGAGAACAATGACAAGTTTGTGGGCTCGTGTTGGCAGAGCAGCTCTGGACCAGGACACTGCCCAAGCAGGGGATGCTGTTTCCCAAGGATCACATCCCACCATCTGCTGGGTTAGTTGGGAGAGTGAGTGGCAATCCCACACGTGCCCAGGGGCATCTCTGGTACCTGTGGTGAAACTGTGTTGTAAGGAAGAAGCTGGAGCAGCCCCGTGCTGGGATGGAGAGGTCTGCAGGCAACTTGGTATCGCCTGCCTCCCCCAGAAATGCTGTCAAACAGCAGAGCAGATCTGTTGGCAGCTGCCTGGTGGTTCTGTGCAGCTAACGGAGCCGGAGGAGCCCTGGGCAAAATGCTCAGCATGAAGCCTCCTGCCAAGCCAAATGTGTGATTCCCACTTCTTGCCCATCCTGCAGCCCAAACCAAGAGACCATGGGGATGGATTTCAAGCAACATCTGCACCAGTGTGCTGTTTGCATGCAAAGAAAGAGAGTATCTACCAGTGAAGTGTGTTACCCTCCCCTGCCCTCCCTCTTCCCCTGAGAGGTTTTATTCCCTGTGCATTCCATGTTCTCCCAGGCTCACACAGCATCAGCTGGGAGCTATGAGAGGGTAAACTGAGGCAGGCTGGAGCAAGGATGCAGACTTAGCCCCACAGCCTCTCTCCATCCTGGCTTGTCATGGAAAAAAACTGTCCCGGCTGCTTCGGCACAGTCTGACGTGGAGATGCCTTTGGCACACAGGGCTGGAGGCTCAGCTAATGCTGCAGAAAACGGGTGAAAACAGGAAGGGGGAAAGGGGTGTAAGTTAGACAGCTGGAGCTGTGAGCTGTTTGGTTCAGGTGTAGCCCATCACTGGTTGTCTGAGGGCGGGAGATGGAGGTGGGAGCAGCCCCCACCTGGGAGCCGTGAGCTCTTTCTGGGGAGAGCTCTGCAGATAACCCTCTCCTGCTGCTGGGCCTGGGGGGGAAACATCCCAGCCTTTCCCCGGCCTCCTTTTCCCCGGCACAGCTGCTGAATAAACGTGTCCAGAGGGAACCAAAGTGTCTGCAGTCAAGCAAGTGAGGAGCTCCACTCGTTATTTCAAGGCAGTTTTCTGGCTTTCATGCTGCAGAGAACCTCATGTGAACACAGAGCCCAGGTAAGGATAAACCCAGTTTTTAAAACCTGATGGGTTTGATGCTGAATTCCTGGTGCAGGGTGGCACACTGGCTGTTTACATCCTGAGGCCAGATCCTGCTGGTGCTGTGCAGCAGCGACTCTCCAGCCAGCTCTGCTGCTCTCGGCATTGTTCTTTGCAGGGGAAAACACTGCAAGGTAATCAAATGCTGACCTACAGTTATTAACCTCATCCTCTTAATCACCTCCACTGAGCGCCTTAATTGCTGAACAGGGATGGGAGGACCCGGCTGCTCCAACCCGAGATTCCCACGCAGCCTGGAAGTCCCCTCCTGGGGTGTGTACACTGCTGCTGCTGCTCTTCCTTTAGCTCACCCCCCCAGCCCCCCTCAAACAAAAAAGAGGTGGAAGTGGTTCTCTCCCAAAATACAGCCATTTAGCAGCAAAATTCAAGGCACCAGCCCTATCTTTTCCTCCAGTGGGTTAAAGAGGGGGTGCAGCCCCATGGTGTTGGGGGCCGATGGCTTTGTCTACAGACTCCTATGCTTGCCAAGTGGGTGCTTTGCTGAGAAGGTGCTGTGCCAGCCTTGGAAGGCCATGCACAGCCTCATTCCTGATGGGAAATGGCAGTTTGGACTAAACTTGTTGCTTTTGGGCCATAGTCAATGGAATCTTGCTGAGGGGGCTGTGGAGAGAGGAGAATGCATTCCCTCTGATGCTGAGGATGCAGAGTTGACAGCACATCCCTCCAGCTGTCTGCCTCCTCCTTTCCCCCCTTTTTTATTTTTTGCATTAGATTGAAAGTAAACAGCCTTTATCCACCTCTGTCCTTGCCCACCTGCCTGTCTCTGGATCCAGCACCAAGGCAGAGAAGCCTGGGCTCTGTCCCTCAGTGGGTGCAGGCTGCCAGCCATCCCAACAGCTCTTGCATTCATGTTCAAGAGGGTTTAGGATGTGGGACTGGTTCAGAGCACTGAAAAACACTCTGTCTGGAGAAGACAGAAGGCAGGGTAGAGAAATGTTAGCCTGACACGTGGCCCATGTGACGATGGGGAGAAGAAACATAGAATGGTTTGCGTTGGAAGAGACCTTAAAGCTCACCTGGTTCCAAACCTCTTGCCATGGACAGGGACCAGGTTGATCAGAGCCTCCCATTCCAACCTGGTATTGAACACTTCCAGGGATGGAGCAGCCACAGCTTCTCTGGGCAATCAAGAAGTGATGTGAAGATGTATAGCAGAAGCCAAAACAGCCTTACTAGCTGGGAAGGCTCCCAGCAGCCCTACCTGCTCAGGAGCATTGCCAGCCTTCCCACCTCTACCCTCCTGATTCCTGGGCTGATGTCTCCGGGCTTCCTCTAGGGAGCAGAGATGATGGCTTTGACTTCCCATTTCCTCCTGGTGTGTTTCATTGCCTGATTATTTTTTCCTTTAGGACTGGGAGGCAAGGGAGGAGAGGTGGGCAGAAGACAGATGTGTAGAGATGTCCAGGTGACAGATTGAGGGATGCTATAGCCACAATAGCCAGGCTGATGGATTGATAGATTAGACAGGGAATATAAATAGCAAGTGTGGTTTATCTATCCCAGTTTTATTTTCCTCTCACCTATCTCTTTATCTCTCCTGGTGTTATTTTACTCATGTTTATCTCTTTATCTGCCCAGCCTGAGGATGGAGGAGAGGCAGGTGACAGAAGCAGGATGGATGAGTTTGGGTTACCACCGCTTTTGCAGCATCCAAGCAGGCAAGTTTTGACAGGTGGGGAGGATTAGGAAGCAGGCTCAGATCCACACACTGCTACACTTTTCACACTCCTCTCCTTTTCCCTGAACCATCCCCTCTGTCCATACCTCCTGCTCTGGTGATGCTGCAGGTCGGAGGGTTGCCTCCTTCCTCTCCCTAGCTCATCCTTATCCTAGGAATGAGGGCATCCAGTGAAGCAGTGAGCTCCACTTGTCTGGGTACCCATCATTCCCATCTGACAGCCGGGCAGCTCCACTGCTTGATATTCCAGTCAGGCACCAAGCACGGCAGCAGCACCGGGAAGGAGGGAGGGATGGAGGCTCACAGCACAGGAAAAGCCAGGGCCAGGGATGACAGTAACTGTTCTGTTCTTTTTTTTTTTTCTTTTTTTCTTTTTTTTTTTTTAATCTCAGTTGGTTTTGGTTGCTCTTTGCTCAAAAAAGGCATTTTTTTAAAAAATATATTAAACAGATACATTTTACTAAGATGTCTCTTGGCTGGAGCCACTGACAAGAAATGACACTCCCCAAATAAATAAGCTTAAAAAAACCCCTCCCAAACAAACCAAATAAATAAATACATAAATAAACCTTTTTTTTTCCTTTTTCTTTCTTTTGCTTTAGGGTTTGTTTTTTGTTTTGTTTGTTTTTTGTAGGGAATTGTGGCCCAGAGGTCTCCGCCGGTGTCCGTGCTGGCAGCGCCCATAGGGTAGGTGCCAGGTCTTTCCCACACAAGGCGGGGGGATGATGCCTTGGTACCCCAGCAGGTGTGAGATGCTTCTGAAGGGGGCCCAGGGGAGATCTGCTGGATCTCGGTGCCCTGTGCTGTGGACCCCCACCAGCACCGTGTGCGAGGGCCTGGCTGCAGGATGGATCATGGGGGATGTGGGAGCGAAGGCGCCTGTAGAAACCTTTTAAAAAGACTACAAAAGTTGGGATGACGAGGCTGTTGTCGGGTGATCCTCACGGTGGGTTGGGCACCTGCTCCAGCGGGACCAGCAGCTGCCCCTGGCCAGGCCACATCCCCCTGGGCACATCTCCCCGGCTACCGACGTGGCGGCTGTGCTGGCACCATCCCCGCACCTGGAGCCAGGCTGTGCTGCGCGAGCCACCCCTCCTCCACAGTCCCCTGGCACCCTCCATCCGCTCGAGCCCCGTGTCTCTTTGGCCAGTCGCTGGGTGTACCATGGAAGCACGCGGTTGGCACTAAGGTAAGGCCTTGATTTAAATTTTTTCAGGGTGGTTGTTTCCCCCCCTTCCCCAGGAAGTCCTTTCTCCCAGCCCCCTGGCTCCGAGGCCGTTAGCTGCACAGCTTGCCCGTCTCCTGCTCCAGGGCGTTGGGCAGCCTGGCGTTGAAGGCTCTCAGGGAGGACTGGATCCTCGCCACCTCGTTGTTGGCCAGCTTGAGCCGGTGGCGGAGCAAGCACGTGAACAGGTCGAGGCGGGTTTTGCCAGGGGGTGACAACCTGTTCACCCGGTCCCTGATCTCCAGCAGCTGGAGCATGGCCGAGTCCTGGGAGCCCTGGGTGTAGGGGTAGTCCAGCTGGAGGATCAGGTCACGGATAGCATCCGGCTCAAAGGGCAGGCTGTAGCCAAACACTTGCAAGCTGTTGATTTTCATGTACCCCAGGTTCTTGGAGGGATCTGACATCTCCAGGGGTTCATAGTAGATTGTCTCGTTGGAGCTGTCATCCAGAGACTTGATGCGGCTCCGCAGGTAGACGTGGACCGTTTCAAAGAAGGTCTTCCACTTGTTGCCCAAGGTGAGCGTCCAGTTCTGGCACTGGGCAGAGGCATCTACGTTAGTCCTTTCCCAGTCTGGGAAGCTGCCTTCGTTGACGGGCATGAACCAGCTCTCCGAGTGGCTTCCCCCAAAGGGGTTGACGTAGATGGCCATGACGGGCTCCAGCGTGCTGTTCTTGGTGAGGCAGATCTGCAGGGAGAGCGCCAACATGACATGAACCAGCCCGGGCTTGTACTTGTTGCTCTTCAGGGTCAGGAGCATGCGCTTCCTCCAGGAGGGGTCGAACCAGCTCCCCAGGCGCATGTCGTTGCTGATGAAGATGGAGTGCACCTCGATGCGGCTGTCCCGTTTCTGCAAGAGGTACTTGAGCTCCAAGTCCTGCAGGTCCGTCTCCAGCCCCAGGTAGTGCTCCAGCGAGTCGGCCACCTCGGGGCGGCAGAAGCCCTGGCTGAGCACGTAGCCGTGGTTGCAGGTCCCGCAGCGGGTGCTGTTGTCCTCGGCACAGCTGGCACAGGCTGGCCCCTCGCCCAAGGCACACGGAATGGACCCCTGGCAGGAGGGCTGGTCCGAGGGACAGGTGCAGCTGTGGCTTTCTTCCAGGAAGGTCCCAGGCACGGTGGTCTCGCTGCAGTACAGGAGCGACTGTGCACGGCTCCACCAGTAAGGGAGGGACCTGATGGAGAGCAGACACAGGAAAGGTGCTTACATGGGACACAGCTGACTTTCCCTAGGGATGGAAGAGCTGCCTACTTTGTGTTCATTTTCTGCTCTGCTGGCGGCCCCCCATGAACTGAGCCCAGATTCTACCTCCAAGTTTGGCCACATCCCAAGGTGGCACGGCTGCCCCTGCTGTCTGCTCATCCCCAGGCACCTCTCCAGCAAGCCAGGAGCTCCTCCAGTCCCAGCCACAGGGAGGTGGGTCACAGATCTGAGCCACCCTCGGGCAAAGGAGCAGCATCCCTGGCACGGGATGGGGATGCTGGGACACCCTACCTCTCCTTCGGCAGCTTGAAGCGAGGCTGCCGGTGGCAGCGCTTGCTGAGGTTGAAGAGCCGCCGGATGAGTCGGTAGGTTTTCCTGGAGAGCAGCTTCAGGCTGGTGCCCAGCTGTTGGTAGCGATGCTGGACATCCAGATCCATGGCCCAGAAGTGGGAGATGGCCGTCCTGTTCAGGAAACGGTCTGTGGGGAGCCTCTTCACCAGGGCCTGAAACTCCTCTGTGCAGAGAAGGAGACGGCATCAGGAAAGCAAGCAGTGAAGGCGGGGCTGGCAGCCACCTCCCTCCACCCGAGCTCCAGAGGTCTTCATGGTGAGATAACCACCCTGGAGCCCCACTGCCCAGCCTGGGCTGCTCGCAAGGCCAAGGAGATGCTTGGCGGGATCTCCCCAGCCTCACCTGACTCCTCAAACTGGCCGTGGTGGCTCTCCCAGGCTCTCCAGAGCTGGGCCAGGCTGCTCTCCAGCGCCTGGATGTCGGCCTCGGGGCAGTTGCAGCGGGGGAAGGCGGGCTGGCACTGGCAGCGGCAGTCGCTCCGGCGGCACACCAGCTCCCCGGCCGAGCTGCAGGCGATGTAGCTGAGGGCGGCGGCCACGAACCTCTCCCGCAGGTAGGAGGGGAGCACCGTCTGCAGCCCTGCGAGCGGGAGGCGGCCCCGGCAGCGTCAGGGCACACACGGAGCCCCTCAAACATTGCCCGGGCGAGGAGGGCATGAGCCTCCCCCCGCGCCCCGGGCTCCCACCCTCACACGATTATCATATCAATTTGCTGTGGAGCCGCTTGTCTGGGCTCTGCATCGATCTTGGCTCCTCTTGGCAGACAAGCAACAACCTCATCCTGCCCAGCTTTCATTACTTTCATCCCCTCTCCTCCCCAGCCCTTAAATTAAAAGCAGCATCTTGTGCCAGCATCCTCCCCTGCAACCCCCTGTGCACCCACAGCCATGCCACGGTGGCACTTGTCCGTCCCCATGTCCCCCCACCAGCCCGGTCTTACCTTGGAGCTGCACTTTGTTCTCAGGGCTCTGAACCAGGACGGAGCTCACCGAGTCCAGGTTGTCGTAGTTGCTGCAGCCGAGCGGCCCTGTCCGTGTTTCGGTCACCTAAGGGGGGATGTGTAGGTGGTCAGCGACACAGGAAAGGATCCAGGGCATGTGCTACCCCGCTGAGAGTGCTGCAGACAACCCCTGCCCGGCCTGGCCATGCCCGAGCGAGGCAATGCTTGGAGAGGAGAGCTAATTAACTGCTAATTGGCTTGTTGACAGGCGGCAGCCCTGCCTGCAGCCCGCTGAATAATGTGCCTTTATTAGCGTGCCCAATTTCCCGTAAATAACGGGAATGTGTTAACTTTCCGTGCTCTACCCTATCTGGTGATGCTGTTTGAGGGTCTCAGCCGGCTTTGGGGGGGCTGCTGCCTCCCCGCTCTGCCCCCTCCCACCCTCGCCTACCTTGATGGCGGCCGTGGCGATCTGGATGTGGTGGAGCCGGCGGAGTGTGCTCTCCCTGTCGATGAAGTAGGAGGCTGCCAGCTGGTGCAGGGTCTCCAGCGAGACCCCCGAGCTGTTCCCAGCCCCCACGGCGGGCTCTGCCCTCCGGCTCAGCTTGCGCTTGTCCACAAAAATGGTCAGGGATTCCTCTCCTGGGGGGACACACACAATGCTTTTGGGAGGCTGCTGGGCTCCCTACATTCCCTGTCCTGGCTGTATTTCCCTCTGCAGTGCTTATTTTCCCACTCTCCCTCCTTGGCACGCTCCTTGTGCGAGGGAAGCGAGTTGGGTGAGGGCCCCAGCACTCACCTCCCAGCGTGGCAGACAGCAGAAAGTGGGTCCCATACTTTTTGATGAGGCTGTCGGTGATCTGCTGGGGGCTGGGCCGGCGTCCCAGCAGCCGGATGTTGCGGATGAATTCGGGGGCCAGGGGAAGTGGTAGGCTGAAGAAGTCTTTCCTCTCCAAGGCCAAGTTATTCACCTTCCAACGAGCAAACTCTCTGCAGGAGGAGAGCAGCAGTGGGGAGACAGTTTGGAGCAGGTCTGGCCACGCCACATGCATGCTCTCCCTTCTTCTGTCCACAGGTGATGAGTAGCTGGAAAACTCCTCTCAGGATCATTCCAACCTCCCCATTGGAGGTGAAGGATCTGCTGCGTGCTCGCCAGGTATGGATCCAGCCAGGACAGAAGTGCTGTCCCTCCCTAAGCCATTGATGGTGATAATGAGCTACAAGCAGCGGAGATGCCTGGTATTGATTAATCCAGCACCTCCGTCAGGCATTCATCACAGCCCAGGGCTGGGCCAGATGGGTCTCATCCATCCTCCAAACCCATGCCTACAGATCCAGGTGAAAATCCAACATCTGGGGGTATTGTGGTGTCAAGTACGGGCAGTGTTTTGTAGGAAGCTGGAGGTGCTGGGATGCAGTGGGATTGGTGGTGGGTCCCCTTGCAGCCTCAGAGGCTGTGAATGTGCCCCCTGGCCTCGCCTGGCCCCAAGGAGCAGCACTAGCCTGTCACTGCCTCCAACAACTGATGGCCCCGTAAACAACCACAAGCAAATTTCAGCCTAATCTTTGGCATTTTGCTCTAATTAAAACCAGGCGGTGGCTTTCAGACAGTTTAATTAGGGCTGGTGGGGAAAGGGAGGGAGAAGAAGGAGGAGGAAGATGAGGAGGAGGGAGAGGTGGATGGCTGCAAAGCAGCCGGAGAGCTTGGTGGATGACAGGTTGCCTCGCATCAATGAACTTTGGGCCTAGAAAGTGGGATGTTGGTGCCAGTAGCGGAGCTGCAGGGGATGCTGCCTCTCCCCTTGCAGGCACATTCCCTCAGGACTGGGGCACGTGGGGCTGGGGTGCCAGTTTTCTCCATCCCATCCCACAGGCAAAGCAAGCCCTGAAGGCTGATGGCATGTTCTCTGCCTCAGAGGAGGTGTGAGACAGCTGCTGTCCCTCCAGGTCCTCCTTCCTGTCCCACCACCGTCACCAGCAGCATCCCCAGAGGATGCGGGTCCCTCGGCATGGCAGTGTCAGCACACAGGAAAGGGGAGAGAAGCTCTCTGGGGGTGCCGGGCTGCATAACAAGGCTGCCATCCCAGCAGCCACATCAGCATTCCCAAGAGGCAGTGGGCAGGCTGGAAACCCCCAGGGCTCAGCACCAGTGGCGAGGAGAGGAAGGGAAAAGGGCTCGTTAGGGGTGACAGCCCCAGTTAGGTCTTGGAGGCGGTGGAGTGGGTTTCCCAGGGTGGCTGTTGTGAGGTGACCCTTTGCTGCAGTTAGTGGACCCCACTGCTGCCACATCTGGTTCTCTGCTGACAAGAAACCCCCTCCAGCATCCCACTGCAGCAGTCCAGGGGGTGATGGCACTGGGGACGTGCCAGAGGGTCAGTCAGGATGGCTCTTCACAAGCCCCAGCAGCATCCCAGCCCCAGATGGCTGCCAGTCCAGATAGGCTCAGTAGTTTGGCACAGAGATGTCTCTATGCATGGCAAAAGGACAGAGGGGCTGAAGGATGAATGCCACATGCATGCTTGCCCTTTCTGCTCTCCCTAGTTTCCACCTCAGGACAGATCAGAAGAGGGAGGGTGTCCAAAGGGGCTGGAGTATGCATGAGACCCATCCAGCCCAGTGGGCTCTGTGTCTCCTGCCATAAGGGCTGATTCCATCTCAACCTCTGCACCAAATCCCTCCCATCTTAGGGCAAATCCTGCCTGGAGCCCAGCCTGGCCACACCATGAGCATCCTGAAGGGCTGCTGTTATATTCCCCGGGAAAGCAGCATCTCACATCCACCCACCCGCTGTCTGTGCTGATGGGCAGCCTCCTCCCACACTGCTCATGTGGATTAGGGAAGATCTGCTGTGCCCCCTGCAGCCCCCCACCCCACATCTCCCTCTCGGGGTGCCCATGGCCTCTCACCTGTAGATCCTGTACCTGGTGGTGAAACCCTGCCGGTAGCGCTCCATGAAGTCCACGTAGTCCTGGGCTCGGTAGAAGGGTCCACGGTCGGTGAGGAGCCAGTCGAGGGGTGCCCGGGCAGAGGGGGAGGAGGACGAAGAGGAAGGGGTCGAGGGGGCAGCATGCTGCTGGGGCACTGTGCTGCCCGCCCCGCCGGCCACCCCCCAGCGACAGCACGCGCTCAGGGCCAGCAGGGCCAGCGGCCACGGGAGCATCGGCGGGGGCCCGTCAGCGCGTGGGAGGTCCTGCCGCCCCATCCTGCTGCTGCCCGGCCGGATTCTTCATTCTCTCACCCCACGGCGATCCTCCAGGACAGCCCTGCCCTGCAACATGGAGCAAGGAAGCCCATGAGGACTGGGATATAAACCAGGAGGAAGCACAAGCTTTGGAATGCCTGCTGGGACGCTGGCACCGGGAAAGCTGTGGTCCAGGGAGAGCCATGCGTCAGGCAGGGACTGGTTGTGCCACAGGAGGTAAGGGTTTATGGGCTTAGGGGTGCTGGCTGTTAGGGGTGCTGAAGTTGAATGAAATCCTGACTAATGGCTGTTTGAGGAATTTGTGGCTTTTCCTTTATGTTTTTCTCTGCCGCACATCAGCCCATGAAGCCGAGTTTGCTGCTGTGGTTGGACAGCAGGCTGACTGCGCTCCGCATTTTGGGGCTGCCTGTCATGAGCGTGTGCAGCTCATTTTGGGGGGGGGGACACACTAAAAAATAATAAGCATAGGGAACTGGGAAACTAGGGAACTGTTAGGACTTTTCTTTGTGTCCTGCTAGTGGCTGAGATGATGGCTGGATGGAGGTTCACCCCAAGGGTGAGTGAGTGGATGAATGGATGGATGTTCACCTCAAGGATGGATGGATGGATGGATGGATGTCCACCACAAGATTGCCTGGGCTGGTTGCAGTGGTGTTTTGAGTGCAAGTGTTTATCTCAAGCCAAGGCTTTTCCACTTTCAAAGCCCAACGTGGCAGGACTAAAGACAGAATTTTTCTGGAGGCAGCAGCCACAGGGCCAGAGCCTGAATTTGCAGGCAAAGGTGGGAGATGGGGATCTGCAAGGTCTGGCCAAGCCAGGGCGAGGCAAGGTGTGCTGTCAGGCAGCAAGAGCTGTTTGCCTAAAAGCAGGGACCCTGTCACTGCAGTGCTTCCAGGGCAGGTGATTTTTATTCCAGGAAGGTGGCTGGTGGGGGCCCAGAGCCTGGGTGCTTGTCCTTGCCGAGTGCGCACCAACCCCGCCTTCTCCCAAACAGGGCTTTGCCGGATGAATCATCATGCTTTAACATGTAATAATACGGTTTTTAAAATTTTTTTTCCTCCCTCTTTTCTATTTTTAAACCCTTAAGGGTGCCCTTTGATTACGTTTTCTCAGCTTCTCGCTCAGCCCTCGAGGCTGGGGCCCTGTGAATTTTAAACAAAAGCTGAGATTTTCGCATCACCAGGTTGGGGTGCCGGGGCAGTGGGGCGGGCAGGGGAGGGCAGGAGCAGCAGGCAGGGCTTTTTCTGTCCCCCCACACTATCTTTTCACATGTCACCCTGGTTTCTCCCATCCTGGCAGGCAGCCACATGACACCCTGGCAGTTGCCTCCTGCTCCTGGCACGTGGAGTTCCCCATGGCCATGAGGTGGCCAAATCCCGGCCTAAAAAATCAGGACCCCGTGCTGGGGTGGGATACAGGCAATGCCAGGCTGTTTTCCTCGCTCGGTGTCACAAGTGTTGGAGGGGGCATCTGCCACCCCCAAAATGTGGCAGGACCCGATGCCGGCTGCTCACAGAGCTGCTCACGCGCTGTCACGTGTGGGTGATGGCTGAGCAGCTGAGGCACTTTGGCTGCTCTGTAATTCTCCCTGCCTGCAACCAAAGCTGGCCCAGGGGAGAAGCAGGCAGCTGGGATGCAGTGTCTGTCAGAAGCAGACAAGGACCTCTCTCCCCTCCTCAGGAATATCTGCTGGTGGTCTTTAAATTAATGCGGTGTGGGGACAAAAGGGGCCCTCAAGGATCAGGATTAAACCCCCCTGACACTCTGCTGCCCTGCAGCCATGGGTCCTGCTGCTACACTGATCTGGGACAAGCTGCTGTGCCCAGGAGGGAATGGTGGGAGCCGGGGTCTGGCAGGAAACCCTGTGGATGTTTTAGATGCTGACCATGGGCTAAACCCTCCATGATTTCATCCCCTTCCCACACTGCAGGGAGGAAAGCAGCACTCTGGCTCTCAGCTGAGAAGCCAAGGCGAAAGCATCCTCAAACAGCATCTTTCTAAACTCTGCCCATGGAAACGCACTGCTTGTAGCATTAAATATGGCTGTGACAGCAAAACACCTTGTTTAAATATCTGGTGCACTGGGAGCCTGCCTGTTGCCTCACAAACAGGCTTGGCACAGCCAATCTCCTCATCCTGTCACCAGACATGGATTTTAGGTGGCTCCTGACCCATTTCCAGCAGAGGTGGGGCTGGGCATGGGATGCTCCATGGCTGGGCCCCTCTCCCCTTCTCCTCCACCTGGGTCCGTAAGCAAAGGGGGATGCTTTTCCACAAGGTGCATGGGACATTGGCCTCATCCATCTCCACTTCACACCACCACAGCCTGGTAAGGATGGTCTTACACCAGTCACCCCACTGCCCTCCCTGAGGCTTTCCTGGTGTACATGAGGGCATGGGAGTACCCTTCCTGTGATTCTAAGCACAGAGGGTTTTTTTTTGTGGAGGGAGGCAGCAGGCAGAGTACTGTCTTTTCCAGCAAACCATCCTGGGTATTAACAGCTTCCCACCACCCCTTTCCACCACCACCCTGGGGGACACTGCTATGTGCCTTTGCCACAAGGGGCTCCCCATGCTGTCGTTCCCCTCCAAACCCCCTCTCCCACCCAAGCACCGCACCTAAGGCAGGAAACCTGGGTGACCATCGTGGGGATGGATATTGGGGATAGAGCCACTTTGGGCCACCTCTTTTCTTAGGCTGTGGTCCCTAGAGCAGCTAGACCCCAATGCCTTCCCTGGGGGGCTTGTTCTGAGATTCAGGGCTGAGCATGAGAAGTGTCCTTGTGGAGGCTTCATGTTTTACTACAGAGCAATAAAAACAGTGAGGATTGGGCATTTGCAGCACTCAACTGGGTCAAGCTGGTGCAAGAGCAGTGAAGGTCCCCTTTGGTATGGAAGCAAAGTTTGCAGCTGTGCTAAGTGAGCTTCTGTTTACACCTCCCTCTTATTTACACCGTCTGTGCCGGCACCTCCGAGGTGGCTCCTGCTTGGGGACGGGCTCTGACGCACACCAGCATCCTTGCCAACGGGAACTTGAAGCCCCAGGTTCAGGCAGGAACAGCCAAGGAGAGCCTGCACAGGGGCTGCACTGAGCTACCCAGCAGCTTTTCCCCAGGGAGCAGCTCTCCTGCACCGCCGTTAGCTGGGCTGATTTGTTTCCTATCGATCAGGGGTTATAGAAAATAAGTGTGTGCAGATATTGCCATAGCTCTGTATAGTCCTTAGTCCATACAGCTGAGTGGGTGGAGCAGGCTCTGGTTTTGCTGGGGAGGGCTGCACTGCTGCTCTGTGGGGTTGGGGCAATGCTTTTTGTGGTGCACCTCCATGTGCTCACACCAGCATCCTCCTGAGAAGCCAGGGAGAGTAAAGCTCTTCGGAAACGAGTAATCCCCCTGACCTTACTACAAGCGCAGGAAATAACTTTCTAATCACTTTTCCTTGATCCAAAAGAATGAAGATTTGATGAGAAGCATCTGACTACTCTTTTTTTCCCCCCCTTCCTTTTGATTTAGGGTTTTGCATCACAAAAGTTGGAAATCTTCCCGCTTGCTAATTTTTTTCCCTCCTCCTTTTCCTCCTTCTATAAAAACTCCAAAGTGATGGAAGGAGAGTGCCAACACAAATATTCTTGGCAAATTTTCCCAGGACCACAACATCCTTCCTGTCCGAGTCCTCCTGAGCTTGTTGCAGCCCTCGGTGTCCTTGTTGCCTGCAGCAGAACACCCTGGTGCCTCTCCAGTGGTGGCTGATGCTTGACCCAGACTGTCACTCGTCACAAGCTGCATCTTAAAAATAACTTGTGGCAATTTCTAGAGGCACCCCCCACCTAGGAGATGGCAGTAGATGGTGAGTGTTCTCATCCAAAATGGATCAAGAGAGACCAAAGCACTGGTATGAGGTGTGGATGGAGATGCCCAAGTGAGCTGCAGAAGCCTCTCTACTGCTCTTGGAGCTGGCAGTGACAGCAGCAACATCCTCAGCACAACACCGGAGTTATGCCAAGGTCTCTCTTGCTTCCATGCCGACGGCATCTCCAGAGCCGCTTGGTGCTCCACCACTAATCAGGCTGAGTTCGATAATTAAGACGTTAGCTAATTGTTAGGGACATTAGCATTGATTTCTGCCCTTTCATGCTGCAGGAGCAGATCTAGAGATACAGAACCTGGGAAGCATGCACTGGGGAGCGGCAGCAGTGGTATTTGCCAGGTGCCATGAGGAAGCACAGGAAGATTCCAGATGGACTCTGGAACTACCCCCTGTACATGCTGAGCTGAAGCCCAGAGCAAAAGCAAGACCCAACATGTGTGCCAGGTACATGATACCTTTTGGTGGTGGAGCTGTGGGATGTGCCCAGTCACAGGGGCTGGTCCCTGGGGCGCAGCGGGAGCAAAGGTGCGTCTGTGCGGGAGTGATGGGGAGGGGTCTCGAGCTCCTTGGGGATGCCTTTTAGTGGGAATGAATGTCAAACCTAGTGACTGAGTCACCTTCTCATTAAACATGGGAAAGCTTTATCAGATTAGGGCCACTTAAGAGAGCCTGGGCAAAGGCTAAGTGCAGTTTAGTTTCTGAAGTGGATTGACTCAGCTGAGCCTTGTCTATGAATTCGTGCAGGCGCCCAGGGCATCTCTTGCTCTGCCGCTTGCACCTCCCGGGACAGAGAATCCCAAAGGGCTCAGTTTTGCCGGATTCTCCCATTGCTCCAGAGCCACCAGCCTTGCCTGGGGCTTTGGGGCACCAGCTCCCTCACACCCAGCCCTGCCTGCATCGCTGTCTCCTCTGCCCCCTCCCCGGCTCTGTGTGGTTTGCAAGGAGCTGCATCGCCGGGCTCGCATCCGCACGCTCCCAGGGAAGCGCCAGGGCCTCATTGATCTGCCGGGGTAATTAAGAGAGCGAGCCAGGCACCGCCGGAGCGACAGCAGCGCGGTAATCACTGGCAAAGTGGGCACGGCGGGGTGCTGTCAGCCGCCTGGCACCCGGCCCCGGAGACACGGCTCCAGGCGGCCAGCGTGGGGACAGCCACCTCGGAGCCTGCCGTCCTGCTGGAGCAGGGACGCTGAAGATCACGGTGGTGGCTGTGAACGGATTCTCGCTGGGCTCCGGCAAACCACCCTCCGCAGCCCATTCAGTCGCTATAGCCAAGGGACTTTAAGTCGCTGCCTCCCTCCCAGCTCGTCAGACTGGTTAGAAAACCTGCAAGACTCGATGGCTTGGGTTCCTTTTATTAGCTGTTCTTCACATCCTCGAGAGCAAGACACTTGAAGATGAGAGTAAAGGAAAATAGCAGAAAATCCCAGGACTCTGGGAGCCAAGGATTTGCATAAGACATCAAATGAGATGAAGCCTGGGCTGCCACCAGGGGAGATGGCAGCTGCGTGCAGTGTGTCGCACCAGTGCCATGTGTTCTGCCCTCTGGCTTTGCACACCCGAGACTTTCACACCCACAGGCAAAAAAGCCTCTTAAGTAAAGCAATGTGCAAAATAGAACTCCCCCCAGCGTGGTGACAGCAGCAGCAGCCCCGGCTTCCCCCACCTTATGCTGAGCTCTCAGCCCAAAGCATCCCTGCAGATGGATCGCTGGAGAAGAGCACCCCCACCCACAAGGGGCTGGAGGAAAAAGAGCACCCTTGCAGTCCCTTCCCCAGGGATGATGGCTCCTTCCCCTCAACGGACCCTGCAAGCCCAGTACCAGCCCCCTGCAGGAGCTGGAGGCAGTGCAAGGTGAGGTCCATTCCTTCCCATCACTCCCTTGCCTTCACACAGGTGACAAGTGTCACGGGTGGGCAGTGATGCACAGCAGTAGCTCAGCGTTAGCGGCACAGGATAAATAAGGTGGCGGGTGGCTGGTGCTGGGCAGAGAGAGGAAGGCGATCTGGGGTGTCAGAGTGGGGCCACTCCCCGTCCTAGCACCCTGCTGCTACCCAGGTCTCCAAACTGTCACCGAGCGGCCACCAAAGACAGCTCCGCTTCGGGGAAAAAGTGCAGGGGCCTCCTTGCAACATCTCCGGGGCTGGCAAGGACCCTCCTGGCTGCTGACAGAGAGGGGACACTGACATCTGCCGGCAGGTCCCACCCGGCCCCGCAGCGCCCAGGCTCACCCTGCCCGGCCCCGGGACCACAGTGGGGGCACCCCGGGACGCGCCACCGCTGCTCCAGGGCAGCGACACGCGGGTCCCCCGGGAGGAGACAGGGCAGGGTGGGCACTGCTGCGCCGAGAGCTGACGCTCTCCAGTGCTTTAAAGAGCCAGAGTTTTGTTCCCTACTGAAAAATAATGTGTGTTTAGGGAAGGGAACGGAGCCTCGCAGTGGGAACCTCCCGATCCCTGAGCTGCCGATACGGTGCCCGTAGTCGCCCGCGGCGTGAAAACACCTCCCGACGGGTCACTCGCTGCTCGGCCCGGTGCTCCGGTGAAGTGGGGCCCTGCGGGGATGATAATGGAGGGAAATTCCCCCCACGGGCTATTGATTTACCGGTGCCCACCAGAGAAATGCGTGTTTAAACATTTAAGGCGGCATCTCCTCCGGTCTCTGCGGGCGCGGGGTGTCTCGCACGAGCATCTCCTACCGAGCAGCGCCCGCTGCATACAGCAGCAGGTCCCAGCATCCTGGGCATCCCGTTTATCCCGGCGGTCTGCCAGCACCCGGTCCCACCGGGCCGCTCGCAGCTCCCCGCGCCTGCCGCGCCGCGATGGCTCCTGCCCGGGAAGGGCTCGGTGCTTTCCTCGACTCCAGACTTCGCCGGAGAGGCTACGAAGCGATCCCGGAGCAGGGACACAACTTGACCAAGGTCACCGAGCGAGGCGGCGGCGGTGCCCGGCATCTCCGTTCCTTCCCCATCCCACCCCCGGCAGGGTCCCCACGCGGGCTCGCCCCGTCCCCCAAATCCCTCCCGCGACCCCGCAAACTCACCCCAGGCTCCGGCTCAGCGCCGGCGGGGCACCGGCCGCCTCTCCGTCCCGTCCCGCTCCGCCTCAGCGGCCCCGGCCGCTGCCCCGCCGCCGCCGCCTCCCGGCCGCCCCATCGCCGGGCGGGCAGGCGGCCCCGGGCGGCGCCGCCAGCATGGCGCGATCGCGACTGTCGCGACAGGCGCTGCCGGTGCCGCGGCCCCGCCGGGTCCCGCCGCGCTCCGCGGGCGCCGCCGCCGCACCGCCGATAATATATGCAGCGGCCGCAGCCAATCAGCGGCGCCGCCGGCCTCCCCGCGCCTCCCCATTGGCGGGCGGGGCGGAGCGGGGCGTGGCCCGGCGGGCGCGCGCGGGGGTCCCGGAGATGCCGCGTCCCCGCTCCCGCCCCAGGGTCCCCAAGGGGGGTCCCTGAGTCAGGGATTGGTTTGGGGGGAAAGGACCTTGAAGGGCACCCAGTCCACTCCCTGCCATGGCAGGGACACCCTCCGCTGGACCAGGTTGGACGGGGCTTGGACACTTCCAGGGATGGGGCGGCCACAGCTTCTCTGGAAATGTCACGCGCTGGTGATCAGCGGGAGGATGGCATTGGTGACACCAGGTTTACTGCACTTGGCTGGTTTGGGTTATTTTAATATATGTTTTATTTATCCACCTCTATTCCTCATGCCTCCCACCAAATCCCTTCCTTACTCTTCTTCCAGGGGCACCACTCCCGGACATGCACCCCATTTCCTAAAGGAGTGGCCAAAAAGACCTTTTTGGAGGCACCTTCTGAATAATGCAATTGCACCTTCTTTTGGTGGGGGGTTTTTTTGGTTTTTTTTTTGGTTTTTTTTTTGTTTGTTTGTTTGGGTTTTTTTGTTTTGTTTTGGGTTTTTTTTTTTTTTTTTTTTTTTTTGAAAATACCTCCTTTTAATGTGTCCCTTGGTGAAAAAAAGAAGAGCAGCTAAAGGCAGAGGACATGCAAAGGGATTACCTTGTGCTCCGCAAAAGCAGGGCCATGTCTGTTGCTCATTTTTCCTTATTTTTCTCTCTGATTTTCGTGGTTTCCCCTGATTTTCTCAGTGGTTTTTTTCCCCTTGATTTTTCCTGATTTTTACTCGTTTTTCCTGGCAGCTGCAGGCGGTTGGTGCCAAAGGGGTACAGTGCTGCTGAAACGCATCCCACTACATCCTCACTGTTTTTTTTGGCTCTGATTGTTGAATACGGGTAATTTCTGGTGAGCACAGTTTTTCCTTCCCAAAATATCACGGAAGTTATAAATACGGGGGTGTCACAAATCAGTCTGGGGAAAAGCACCCACTGTGGCTCCTCTGCTTGGGGTGTGTGGGGCACAGTGCTGTCCCCCCTGTATGCTGACCCTGGGGCATGTTAAGCTTCACAGCTGGCAGGAATGAGGGAGGAGGAATTTGGGAAAACTCCTGCAAGGGGAGGAGGAAAAGCTCTGCAAAAGAATAATACAAAAAATTGCAAGGGTTTTTAAAGGAACGTGTTGTGTGTGGTTCCACACAAGGAGACAGGGTGGAGCTGGGTGAGGTGTGAGCTCTGCTTCCAGGTCAGAAATGACTCCATACCCAGCTCCACAGGTGTCTGCCATCAGGAGACTCCCGGGGGGAGGGGGAAACCACACCAGCATGGCTGTATATTCCTGCTGGGATGGGGCCTTTCCCCCCCACTGGAAGAGGAGAACATTTTCCTTCAGAACATTTTGGCTGCAGGGAGGACCACAGGTGTTTGCAGGAAGGTGTGGCTGTCAGACAAGCTGTCGCTGCTGCTCATTTAAAGAGTGATGCTTAAAAAGCATCCAGTATAAAAAGAGCCAGATCTGGCAGGTTTGGGGTTGGCCCTAATGCTCCATATATGTATGTATATGCTTGGGGGATTTGGAGGTCCATGACTTCTCCTGAGCTTTGGGGTCCATGACTTCTCCTGGGATTTCGGAGGTCTGCTATTTTGGAGGTCCATGATTTCTTCAGGGGCTTTGGGGTCCATGACTCCTCCTGGCATTTTGGAAGTCTGTGACTTCTGGGATTTTGGAGGTCAGTGACTTTTCCTGGGACTTTGGAGGTCCATGACTTCTCCTGAAATTTTGGAGGTTTGGCATTTTGGAGGTCAGTGACTTCTTCTGGGACTTTGGGATATATGGCTTCTGGGATTTTGGAGGTTTGGGATTTTGGAGGTCTGTGACTTCTGGGACTTTGGGTTCCATGACTTCTCCTGGGATTTTGGAGGTCTGGGATTTCTCCTAGGATTTTGAAGGTCTGTGATTTTGGAGGTCTGCAATTTATCCTGGGGACGGGGGGGTGGTACCTGCGCGCTCTTCCCAGCGCAGAAGCGGGCAGAGGGAGCCGGGCCGGGCAGTCCCGCATCCCGCCCGCCACCTCATCGCTGAAAACCGCAGCTCTCCCGGCTTTTTTCCAGGGATGGGGGGAAGGGCGAAGCGGAGGAGGGGGGAGGCGGGGGGCCGGGAAAGCCGATCCGTGCCGAGCCGCGCCGCACGGGGAGGCGCCGGGCCGCGGTGCCCGCCCCTCGCCGCCGCCTCCCGCCCGGCGCCGGGAGCGCGGCGCGGGGCTCCAAGATGGCTTTGGCCGGGCTGTGCTCGCTGCTGGCCGGCTGCTGCCTGGCCGCGGGCAGCGGCCCCGCCGAGGCGGCGGCGGAGGCGGCGGCCAAGGAGCTGGAGTGCAAGCTGAAGAGCATCACGGTGTCGGCGCTGCCCTTCCTGCGGGAGAACGACCTCAGCATCATGCACGGCCCCTCGGCCGCCGAGCCCAAGCTGCTCTTCTCGGTCCGCAACGACTTCCCCGGCGAGATGGTGGTGGTGGATGACCTGGAGAACACGGAGCTGCCCTACTTCGTGCTGGGTGAGCCTGCGGGAGCGCGGCGGGGCCCCCCCGAGCATCCCCGGCGGCGGGGCTCCTCCCTGCCGCACCGGCGGGCGCCCTGCGGCTGCTCGGCCCCGGGGCCGCTACATCCCGCTGCAGCATCTCTGCCCCGGTGTCATTTCATCCCACCGCAGCATCCTGGCCGCGGGGCCGGTTCGCCCCGCTGCAGCATCGGGGCTGGAGATGCGGCAGGCCTGGGGCTCCTGGTGCATTCCCACGTTGTCATCCGCGGGGCTCATCCCCAGCTCGATCCGTGGCCACCGGCGGCTTGTGCTGGCAGGAGGCCCACAGTCTGCTCCCAGCGTGCCCAGCTGGAGGTGAGGGTTTCTGCTTTGTCTGCCCCTGAGCAGAGTCACCTTTCCTGCAGCCTGATGGAAAAATGCTCCAGTGCCCAGCGTATCCCAATCTGCCTGTGTGTGTGCTGCCTCCAGTGCTCCTGCCCCCAGGTGTTGGGCTTTGGCCTGCTCACATGGTCTGGGTGGTTCCCACCTGCTCTTCACCCACTGCCTGAGGCTCATCTGCCCTTATCTCATAGACCCTTATCTCTTCAGTTTTCTTCCACTAAAAAAAGCCAACAATTCGCTCCTTTGTTTGTTTATGCTGGGATCAGAGTGAGGCCTCCACCCCTTGTACTCAGGGACCCGCTTTCCTCCTCACCACCTGGAACAAGTCACTGAGATGTTTAATTTTGGGTGACACTGGTGCAGAATACCAGTTCCCTGCCCACACATGACCTCCTGCCCTGGGCAAATGCCACCAATGCTTTTGTAGCAGGCCTACAGTTGGCTGTGCCACCTCCTGCAAGCCTTTTACATCTGTTGCTCCTCTAGCAGCACCTTGGGTGTCCCATTAAGTTTTTAAAATGCCACCCTTGCTTGGATGTTGGCCCAAAAATGAGGCACTTGTGTGTTGCTTGATGTGATGCTCCTCCTGATGCTCCTCTGTACCACCCTTGTGTGTAGCAGTGACCACAGACAGGAGTCCCCGGCAATTCCTCGCCTCCATGGCCTCTGGACCTCTCCATGTGCTAAAAAAACCCCAGTCCTGGATGCTGGGTAGGCTTGGGGCAGCTCTGGCTGCTGTGTGAGCATCCCTTTTCTCTTGGGAGAATGGCAGAGGCAGGCGTGGGGCTGCTGATGCGGTGGGGGAGGTGTGTGGGGACACCCAGGGGTGTCTTGCTGGAGGCCAGGGGCGGTGTGGGGAGGGGGCAGCGGGCTGTGGTGCCCCCCTGCCCCCCTGGTCCAGCCCTGTGCTGCGGGATGCTGCGGCGGAGGCCGGAGAGCGTTGCTGTGGCAACAAGGCAGCAGCGCTGCGGATGCAGGGGGACGGATGCAGGGGGATGCCGGCATGGCTGCCAGCCCTGCGCCACCTCCATGCCCCAAAGGCCACCCAGGCTCGTCCTCTGGCCCCCTCAGACCCAATCCTGAGGAGCTGGACCCCGATGGGGTCTGGGGTGCTGCCAGTGGGGAGCATCCTGGTGGGAATCAGGAGGGGGTCCCTGGGCATGACCCTGGCTGGTGCTGTGGGGATTTCCCCAGGGATTTTGTAAATCGCTGGGCTGTGCAGTGAAGGACCCGCCTACCCTGACAGCCCCCTGCTGCACCCATGGCTTGTACTGATGGTGCTTGGCAGGGTTTTGCTTTTGCCTCCTTCTGCTTTCAAAGCCAGACAATGCAAGGATGGCTGGCCCCTTGCCAGTGCACCCTGATGTCCTGGTGGTGGCAGGGCTCCCTGGGGCTTTTCCCCCTGGGACATTGGTTCCCCAAGAACCTGGGGATGCATGGGGCTGTGCCAGCCCCCAGCAGACAGGGATTTGGGCTGTGGAGACACAGAGGGGATCCCAGTACAAGTCTCCCTGCCTGGAATGCTGGGGCTGAGAGCTGAGCTGGCAGGGTACCCAGCACCTTGCAGGCCCCCTGTTTGCCAGGGTTTTGGCTTGGTGACTTCTGGGAAATGCCATGTTGCATCTCCCTCTCTCCTGTGAAGGAAAGGCTTGCTTTGAAGCTGGTGTGTCCTCTTTGTCATGTGTGGGTGTTATTGTTGTTGTGCTGCTTTGCCATGTGTGGGTGTTGTTTTTATTATTGTTAGAATCATTATTATTATTATCATTGTTACTACTACTGTTAGCCTGGACACTGGCATGGCAGAAGCTCTGAAATGCACAGAGGTCTTGCAAGACCCAGGCTTGGTGACTCAGAGGCTGCAACCTCTGGAGCTGGAGAACCCCCAGGCCAAAAATCCC